TGTCTTCACAACGTTCCAACAGAGTACAGAGGAAATCAGTGTTTAAGAGGCCATGTGGTGGGATAATACCTTAGGGTGCTATCTGATAGTTCATTTATTTCTAAACTAGTGTAGCTGCCATGTTGATAATGAAATATCCCATAGAAGCTCTAGGAGGTCTCCTTGTGTTATCCCTTCTCCATTTATTTTTAGGGTGAGAACTGAAGCCACCAAAAGGCTTACTACACAACCCAACACCCAAGCCTTGTTTTGGGGCGTGGGGACAGTGGATGTGGCTCCTCAGGCTGACCAAGTGAAGAAGGAAGCTGGCTCTGCCCAACAACGCCTACAAAGGAAGGGCCATGGTCGGTGGCGGCGGGGTGGGGATATTCAGTGGTTCTGGGCAGCTGCTTCATTCACAACAGAATGGCCATTTTCTCCAGCATGGCCATCTATCCCTTGTCTTTTTGCCATGTCAGCCTAGAAGGTAGAAGCTAGGGCCAAAGCTGCTGCTAAGGAATTCTTCCTCCTACTGGGGCCTAATATTAGGCTTTCCTTATATTGTGGAGGGGACCCTGGAGGGTGGTTAGAGACTCTCTTCCTTCCTGCTGGGCACCCTGAAGAGGAGCAAGAGGATCTGGTGAGCAAAATGAAGCCAAGCTTAGGGTAGTGCCTGGAGCTGACAACCCAATTCCCTGCTGAACAGCATGCAGTTGGCTCAGGGCTGTTCCGCACCTGGGAGCTTCCTGCCACTCACAGGCTACCCGGCACACACTACCAGGTCAATGGCCCAGGCCTATCTGCCGCCACAGTGCCCTGTGCCCGAGACCTTTCCTGGCCTCTGCTGGATCACATGTCTAGTGTCATTCCTAGGGACTCCAGAGGCAAGTCCAGGCTAATATGCTCTGGGAAAACAATGGATGATGTATGTGTTTGCCTTTTGACCTAGATAAATGATACCTGGATCCCAGGTCTGGCTCTGGGGCAGGGGAGCTTCACGCCTGGCTATGGCAGAACTCTAAAGGAGGTACTTTGGGTTTTCACCACCTCTTAAATCATCTGAGAGAGAGAGAGAGAGAGCCACTTACTTTCACATGCACAAGCTGCCGCTGGCTCTGTCACAAGAAGATGAACTACAAGTAATAAAATCAAGATGAAGTCCTGTGTAAATCTTTCCAGTTTACAAAGATTGTAGAAAGTTGAAGATGAAAGGGATATTAAAGAGCATCTCATTCTACCGCCTCATTTTGCAGCTGTAAGAACTGTGGCCCAGGGAGGGGGACTGGGGAAGCCACCATCACACAGCTGCTCCATGGCAGGAGCTATGCTGACTTTCTGTGGCTATTGCCATGACACCCAGCATTGTTTGACGTTTGAAGATAGTAAGGGAGAAAGCAGTCCTCCCAGTGTCTTCACCTCCTACGACGTTTATTGTTTCCAGCTGTTAAAAATTGGCCCTTTAAAAATGGGTCGCCCTGCCAGTCATTGAAGGTCACCGCGGCGGGGAGTGGTGATTTAGAGGGCTGCAGAACAGGCAGGGGATTGGAGGCACAATTGCCAGTCTCCCTGGCACCTGGGATTTCTGTCATTCAAGTCCCTGGGTGTGTGCCCTCAGCGAATACTAACCCACAGAGTCCATTGCTAACTGCAGTCATCTGTGCATTTGCCCTCTGGGGACAGAAAGCCGGAAAAAATGCTATTTCCTAATCTAGTTGGCCTTGGATGGGGAGATGTTTTTGCCTAATGGAAGCCTTCGGAAAGTAAATATTGTATTTAGGACCTACAGTGCTCCCCAGGATGCTGTAAGGGACCTGGTTATAAAGAAAAAAACCTCACAGGTGGTTTTGGCTTTGGCTTTGTCTGAGTTAAGTCCTTTTGGTTCCAAGTAATCAACTTGAGCTGACTTAAGCATGAGGGACATATTAGAGTATAGCAGTATCTCATGAAGTTCAAGGGCAGATTGGCCTCAAGGTAACCTGAGAAGCTGCTAGGAACCTAGGCAGCCCACCTTCTCCAGCTTTCTTCTCTGCTTCATCTCTCTGCAATCCACTTTCTTCCCTGTGAGTAGCTGGGTGGAGGATAATCCCTCAATAACTACCACATCTGCATCTTCTCTCCTAAAGAGATTAGCCAAAGGTGAGTGGCTGTTCTCATTCCAATACTAAATTCCTGGGAGAGGGAATTTGGTTGTCCCAGCCTGGGTCGGGTGCACAGCTTGATCCAATCAGGTGTGCCCTGGAGAGGGTGCTCTGAGACAGGCACATCTGGGGACGCTCATCCTCATGCATGACCGAAGGGCAGTTCTCCAGGAAAGAAGAGAGGAGCGTGGAGGGCAGACATTTCAAATGTGTGTTACAGGCTTCAATCAAATTAGTTACTGATATAGAAAAATGGCAATGTAGGGTGCTTGAGAAACAGTTCTCAAGAGAGAACTGTAGAGATTCTATTTGCCTAACTTCCTGGATGATAAATTGTCTATCATGGAACTGTTACTTTTTTTTTTTTTTTTTTGAGACGGAGTCTCACTGTGTTGGTAAGGCTTGAGTACAGTGGCATGATCTCGACTCACCGCAACCTCCGCCTCCCAGGTTTAAGTGATTCTCCTGCCTCAACCTTCCGAGTAACTGGGATTACAGGTGCCCACCACCACGCCTGGCTAATTTTTGTATTTTTAGTAGAGATGGGGTTTCAACATGTTGGCCAGGCTGGTTTCGAACTCCTGACCTCAAGTGATCTGCCTGCCTCGGCCTCCCAAAGTGCTGGGATTACAGATGTGAGCCACCATACCCAGCCAGAGCTGTATCTTTTTATATAGTAAATTTCTTGCAGTGTAACCCCTATCCTCTGGACTCTGTGTAAAAAGCTCATCCAGATGATCTGAGGAGTGTCTTAATCTTTTATGTGACTATCATATATATTTTCATCCTGTTGAGGTATGTTTGCTAAGTGGATATTGAAAATGAAATCAAGGTATAATTTTAAACTTGCATTGAAATGTATCTATATAAGCATCTGTGCACACGTACTTATCTTGTTAAACACCCATTCTGCTTTCCAAAGGATTTGAAGCAACGTCTAATAAAAACACAGAAAAAATATGGCCAAGAGCTGTTAACACCAAAAAAAGAAGTAAAGGGCAAGTCGCAAACAGATTGCAGTTGAGCGAAGCTGCATAGGGCTGTCACGGCAGGCCTGAAGGGATGCTAAATGTAGTGCTGAACTTTCTGACATTCAAGGCCCAAACTAGTGTCTGCTCTGTGGTCCTCAAAACCCTTTCAGAGGAGCCGCAGATCAAAACGATTTTCATAATAACACCGAGACATTGTTTGCATCTTTCATTGTCATTCTCTTAGGAGTATACAGTGGAGTTTTCCAGAAGGCACGTGCCGTGTGCATCACCACAGACTGAATGCAGAAACAGACATGAGGCTCTAGCTGTCTCCTACTAAGCCAGACATCCAGCACATCTGAGAGTGTAAAACAGTGCCACTCTCCTCACTTGTTTGTTTTGGAAAATAGGTCTTTCATGAAATGTTAATGATGTTGATATATTATGGGTTTGTTGTTATTTTAAATGAATAAATAATTTTTGATTTAATTTCTAATACTGTAAATATGGACGGATATATGTTGTATAAGTAAAAACTCTTTGGGGTTCTCAACTATTTTTAAGAGTATAAAGGGGTCATTAGAGAACTGCCACTGAAGAATATTAGTGTTATTTAAAGAGCTTCTACACAGAGAAAGAAACTGTCAACAGAGTAAACAAACTACAGAACGGGAGAAAATAGTCACAAACTGCATCTGACAGGGGGCTAATATCCAGACTCTATAAGGAATTTAAACACTTCAATGAGTAAAAAATAACCCCATTAAAAAGTGGGCAAAGGGGCCAGGTGCAATGGCTCACCCCTGTAATCCCAGTACTTTGGGTGGTCGAGGCGTGAAACCCTGTCTCTACTAAAAATACAAAAAATTAGCTGGGTGTGGTGGCACACGCTGATAGTCCCAGCTACTCCGGAGGCTGAGGCAGGAGAATCGCTTGAACCCGGGAGGCGGAGGTTGCAGTGAGCTGAGATCCCGCCACTGCATTGCTCTCTGGAGGACAAAGTGAGACTCCATCTCAAAAAAAACAAAAAAGTGGGCAAAGGACATGAACAGTGACTTCTCAAAAGAAGACATACAAGCAGCCAACAAATATGACAACATACTCAACATCAATAATAATTAGAGATATGTAAATTAAAACCACGAGGAGATACCATCTCACCCTAGTCAGAATGGCTATTATTAAAAAGTCCAAAAAAATAACAGATGCTGCTGAGGCTCTAGAGAAAATGTAATGCTTATCTATTGTTGTTGGGAACATAAATTAGTCCAGCCACTGTGGAAAGCAGTTTGGAGATTTCCTCAAAGAACTTAGAACTACCATTTGACCCAGCAGTCCTATTACTGGGTATATATCCAAAAGAAAATTAATCTTTCCACCAAAAAGACACATGTGCTGGTATGTTCACTGCAGCACTATTCACAATAGCAAAGACATGCAGTCAATTTAGAGGCCCATCAGTGGTAGATTGGATAAAGAAAACGTGGTACACATACACCATGAAATACTGCCCAGCCATAAAAAAGAATGAATTTATGTTATTTGCAGCAACATGGATGCAGCTGGAGGCTGTTAGCCCAAGTGAATAATGCAGGAAAGGAAGACCGAATACTGCATTTTCTCACTTATAAGTGGGAGCTAAACATTGAGTGCACATGGACATAAAGATTAAAACGATAGACACTGGAGACTACTAGAGGGAGGAGAAAGGGAGAGAGCCAAGGGCTAAACAACTACCTATTAGGTACCATGCTCACAACCGCGGTGATGGGATCATTTGTACCCCAACCTCAGTGTCACACAATATACCCATGTAACAAATCTGCATATGTACACCCTGAATCTAAAGTAAAGGTCAAAATTTTTTTTAAAAAAGATTATTACTATTATTTAACCATCCATATCAGTTCATTCTCACAATGCTATATATCAATAAAACCACCTGAGACTGGGTAATTTTTAAGGAAAAGAGGTTTAATTGACTGGCTGTTCTGCATGTCTGGGGAGGCCTCAGGAAACTTGTAATTATGGTGGAAGAGGAAGCAAGGCACGTCTTACATGGTGGCAGGAGAGAGACAGAGCAAGGCAGGGGGTTGGGGGAGACATGCCACACTTTTAAACTATCAGATCTCATGATAAATCACTATCACGAGAACAGCACGAAGGAAACTGGCCTTGTGATCCAATCACCTCCCACGCCCCTGACACATGGGGATTAAAATTTGAGATGAGACTTGCATGGGGACACAGAGCCAAACCATATCATGCATCTGAGATGCTGATTTTTGCCCCCACAAATTTTTTTCCTGAAGACATTGGTCACATCTACACTTGATCCTCTACAAAACAGATTTTTTTTTTATTTTAGGAATAGATGAAGTAGCATTTTTGTACACATACATTCATTTATTCCTCATTCTATCTGCTCACGACATAGTCATTGAACACCTATTATACAGATGCCACGTATCATGCTTGACTCTGGGAATAGAGTGAAGAGCAAGACACATGGGCCTTGACTTCATGAAGGTTATGATCTAGCTTGCAAAGGAACGACAGTATGACTTAAAAATAATATAGGGTCAAGGTAAAATTAATCCAAATGGAAACTGCTTTTATTTGTCTTCACATAAACTACCAGTTTGTTTTTTTTTTAACCTGCTATTTACTTTGCTGAGTCTGAAGACTTAAGGAATTTCTAGGCAGGAGAACATCATGTGCCAGGTATTGGATTTACTGGTGATTTAAGTTACAGCAGCCCGAGTCTGTTATTGTGTTTAAAGGTATGGTATGTTTTGGGAAAACTCAGCCTAGGTAAACAAAAATCCATGTTAGAAAGTATTATATTTGTGCCGGGCGTGGTGGCTCACATCTGTAATCCCAGCACTTTGGAAGGCCGAGGCTAGTGGATCACCTGAGGTCTGGAGTTAGAGACCAGCCTGACCAACATGAAGAAACCTACCTCATCTCTACTAAAAACACAAAATTAGCCGGGCGTGGTGGCACATGCCTATAATCCCAGCTGCTCAGGAGGCTGAGACAGGAGAATGGCTTAAACCTGGGAGGCAGAGGTTGCAGTGAGCCGAGGTCGCGCCATTGCACTCCAGCCTGGCAACAAGAGTGAAACTCCATCACCAAAAAAAAAAAAAAAAAAAGTATTACATTTGTATTACAAAAAGACTTTTCATTCTGGAAATATAAGACTTACGGAGGGGTTGATCAATAACTTGATTGATTGAACGATTCAGCAGTTTACTGTATATTTAAAACATGATTCAGATGATCCCAGTTGACTCAGTTTTTCAGTTATATGTATAATGCATTTAGGAAAACAAAAGTGTATTGCACAGTTGCAGTAGAAAAGAAAGAAGCATGTTTGCAGGTGCGGCTGGTGTCTGCTGTTAGGCAAGCCCCAGAATGGGAGGAAAAGTCTAGAGTTGGTAAAAGCGCAGTGCCAAAGAACACACAAACTTCAAAGTTTAAGTGGAACTTAATTTCTTTGACAGCATGGTTGAGCAGAAGGTCAAGACAGTGCATATAAATTTCAGTAAGACATTAGACAAAAGTCTTTTGTAGTGTTCTTGTTGATTAGCTCATGGGGAGACCTAGGGTAAATCATGGTACAATTAGATTGATTTGCAGTTAACTGGTTGAACAACCATTTCCCAAAAGTCTTGGTAATGGATCCATTTCAACTTTGACATGGTTCTTTATAGGCTCACCATGGGGCTCTATCTTCAGCCTCACTCAATGCAATATTGTTATAAGTCATATGCTGGTGAAATCTATTGTTGACACACAGGTAAGAGGAAGAGTTTATTTATGCAGTAAGATGCTAGAAGCAGAGTCCAAAAACATTTTAAAAGACTGGAGCGATGTGTCAAATGTAATGAGATAGAATTTAATAGGACAGCATTCCACATTCAGGCCCCTTAAAAGCTATCTAAAGAAGTTTATGATGCTTGGAACATGACATATTTAAATGGCATCAGAATGAGGCAAATACATAAACATATCTGAACCAGGCCCAGTGTCACACATCTATAGTCCAAGCTATTTGGGAGGCTGAGGCGGGAGGATTGCTTAAGTCCAGGAGTTTGAGTCCAGCCTGGGTAACATAGTGAGGCTCCACCTTTAAAAAAAAAAAAGTATCTGTAAAGACTTTTCTATGAGTAAGCTACAACTTGATTTATAGGATGAGGTTTCCTGAAGCTTCTTGATGTCAATAGGTCTTAGGCCAGGGGACAAGAGGGTGAGGCTGTGGAAGAAACCCGAATAGAAAGTATTGTTTAAGAGTGCAGTATGTGGCGGGGCACAGTGGCTCACGACTGTAATCCCAGCACTTTGGGAGACTGAGGCAGGAGGATCACGAGGTCAGGAGTTCGAGACCAGCCTGATCAACATGGTGAAACCCTGTCTCTACTAAAAATACAAAAATTATTGGTGGTGGGCACCTGTAATCCCAGTTATTCAAGAGGCTGAGGCAGGAGAGTCACTTGAATCTGGGAGGTGGAGGTTGCAGTGAGCCAAGATCGTGCCACTGCACTCCAGCCTGGGTGACAGAGCGAGACTCGGTCTAAAAAAAGAAAAAAAAAGTGCAATATACAAAGGAAAACAGCAAACTCAATAAATGACTTTCTAAAATGTGACGAGAGGCCTCAGATTGTATTAACAGAAATATAATGTCCAGAATAAAGAAGGGGATGTTCCTGCTTCACTCTGTCCAGGTAGACCCCACTTGGAGTACTGGAAGCAATTCTGGGTGAGTACCTTTTACTGAGACTTTGACCAGCTAAAATGTAAGGAGAACGCAGCAATGAAAATGGAAAGGGTCTTGAAATCATGTCATGTCCCTGCTTTCAAAGTGTGACACTGCTGGCTACCTCCCAGAGCTCCCTTCCTACTTCTTTCCCTCACCGTTTCCTTTCTACTGTCTCCGTGCTGGCCTAGTTGATATTCCCCAGACATCAGACATTTATCATTGCAGGGTCTTTGTTTCTCTCCCTAGATACTGACATTGGCTTATCCCCTCAGTTCAGAGGTTTCTTTTTTGAAAGTCAGGTCCTTGTCCAAATGTTACGTCCTCAAGAGAAGCTCTCTTACCTCCCAACCTAAGGAAACACTATCACTCCCAGTCTCTTTACCTTGCCTTTCTTTCTATGTATTTATCACTACCTGACGTTACGTTATAAATGTACCTATTTAACTGTTTATTTTCCATCTTCCTCAATACAATATACATTCCAGGAGGGCTGTGGCTTTGTTTTCCTCTTCCATCCTTCAGCCATCCTAGGTACACAATAAGCAATTTTTTTTTTTAGAATAGGGTCTCTGTCACCCAGGTTGGAGTGCAGTGGCACCATCTTACCTCACTGCAGCCTCGACCTCCTGGGTTCCAGCGTTTTTCTCCTACTTCAGACCTGCAAGTAGCTGGGACTACAGGCATCTGCCACCACTCCCAGCTAATTTTTTTGTACTTTTTGTAGAGACAGGGTTTCACTATGTCACCCAGGCTAGTCTCGAACTCCTGAGCTCAAGCAATTTGCCTGCCTCAGCTTCCCAAAATGCCAGGATTACAGATTACCCTCATAAGGCATGGCTCCCGGCCCTCAATAAGCAATTTTTTTTTTCAGACAATGTCTTGCTCTGTCGCCCAGGCTAGAGTGCAGTTGTGTGACCCTGTCTCACTGTAACCTTTGCCTCCTGGGTTCAAGTGATTCTCCTGCCTTAGCCTCCCGAGTAGCTGGGATTACAGGCATGCACCACCAAGTTCAGCTAATTTTCGTATTTTTAGTAGAGGGTGGGTTTTAACGTGTTGGCCAAGCTGGTCTCGAACTCCTGACCTCAAATGATCCACCTGCCTCGGCCCTCCTAAGTGCTGAGATTACAGGCGTGAGCCACTGCACCCAGCCACAATAAGCAATTTTTGATGGATTCAAGGAATAAAATGAGGCCATACTGTAAACCTACAAAAGGAAAGCTGCTAAAAGCTGCATTCAAATGCGCGAAGGAGCTACTTTGTGGAAGAGGTTTTTCCCACATGGCCAGGATAGAACGATGAGTAGGTGCTCAAGGAAAAAAGATTAGAAAAATCTCAGGCTCTGTGAAAACAACATTTCTCAGAATTGGAAAGGGTGGATCACTGGGGCGTCCCTGCCACTGGTTGTATTTCCATAGATTTGAGAAAACCACTTGTCAGGGGTACTGTTTGTATTTTGAATTCGATGATACTTAAGACTTTTCCTTATTCCGAAATTGTATGAGATTGTCACAGGTCAGGCCACCTCCTTCTTATTAAAAAGTATTTTTAAAATTTGGTCTACTGAAGTAATTTTCCTAGGTGAACATACCTTCAATGTTTTAAATGTGATCATGGATTCAATTTATACCAATTATGCCCTTTTTCTGAAGCACGGTTTGGACTATGTGAGATTTAGAAGAGAAAGATTTTGGTTTCATGAGAAGTACGTGTCACTCTGAAGGCATCTTAAGAATGATCAGGATGTATGTAATTTTTCTTTTATCTACATAACCAATGTGCTCACCACCCTTATAAATAGTCATAAATGTTGCTTTCTGGGTATCTTTCTAGATAAGACATTGCATCTGTTCCAAGGAGAATGATTTTAGCACTCAACAGCTGAGAAAGGAAATGAATTCTCCCATTGTAACTACTAAGGCAACTTAGATAGTCAGTCATACCCTGGTATGGATAGACAGACAAGAGTAAACAAGATTCTGCTATGCTTCTTCAATGAGGCAAAAGTTTTCTATTTTTATTTTAATGGCAGTAAATGTTTAATACTAACACAGCTCTCAGAGGAAACTAAACAGGGGTCTGGTGTTTTTATAAAGCAAAACAGACAAACGAAGACACATAACAATGTTTGTAGAGAAGTCTGTGTTTTTGACTTACAGGAAAGGGACAAAATATCAGTGCGGAAGGACTCCAGGCAGCTTCCAGCTCAGATCTCCAGCGCTGACTCACTCCCACAGTCCTCAAGCAGGCCAGGAGCTACGATATCGCCCAAAAGTGTGTTGTGGGAATTTGTGATTATTTCTCTGGCTATGTGATGAGATTTTTTTGCTGCCTAAAAACGATGAGGTTAGAACCACATGGCTAGTGTTCTGTTAACCTACTGAGAAAATAAAGTCTTTCCTGGAATTCTGAATTTTAAAACCTTATTTCAAAATGCAAGCAAAAAAAAAAAAAAAAAAAGCCCAAACACAATGTCAGCACATTAAAAACAAGCAAACAACAAGACCAACAAAAACTGAGCTACATAAAGGTAGACAAAGGGATATCAGCCAGATTCTAGAACAGTTTCATGAGAAGGGAAGGAACTGTTTGACACCAGTTCCTAGCAACTTCCCAGAAAACAAATTTGTAGTGAAATAGGATCAGTGCAGGCAGAGCAGACCCAAGATCATGATTTGGGATGCCTCTATTAGTCCCAAGAGAGAGGACAACTGGTGTTCTTCCCTCGTCATGAGCACTAGACAGTGACTTTCCTATGTGACTCTGCATCATAGGGCTTTGGGTCTGATCGCATATCCCAGTGCTATTCGCAGAACCTGTGTCCTGGTTCTTCTCATGCCCCACAATCAGTGGGATCCAGACACGTAACAGACTAGGGTCTGCTTGTTTATGCATTTACAGGCTCACTATCTGTGCTGGGCCACAAGCTCCTTAAGGACAGGAAGGAATTTGTCCGCCACGGTATTCCCTGCATCTAGCATAGCTCCAGTCCCAGAGTCAGCGCTCAGTAAAGATTTGTCAAGTGTTACTATTGAATGAAGTGAAAAGGTCCAAAGAAATGCAAACCTGGCATTACTCCTCTTCTAACCAGAGGCAAAGTGTGCACGCTTGGTATGAGAGGATTTCCCGCTCCGGTGTCTTGAATTTTCAAGTACTGGGCACCAGAAGTCACCTTGTCGCCTGATAACTCATTTCCTCGGTAATGTGGGTAGCCAAGGCGGGGTCTGAGTCCTTGCTCACCTCTGAACCCCCTCTACAGTGCCTAGCACCCGGGAGATGATCAGTAGACATTTGTTGAGTAAAATAATAAAAGTGACTGCTCCTGGCCTGACTTCTGCCTAGCAGGCTGCTGTCGTCACCCAATAAAATGGGCCTCTTTCAAAACAGGACAAGTTAGGAAACGGAATTTCCCTAAAAGGGAAAGCCAGTAGGGTGGCAGGCCCCTTTCGCTACCCTTTCTGAGAAGGTGAGAAGGAGAAAGACGGGAAAGGGGAGAAAACTTCCCAGGGTGATGGGTCCTGCACTGCCCTTTGATCTTGGGTTTGAGAGGCGACCCGACCCCTCCTGGCCATAAAACCCCAGCAACTGGAGCCAGTAGGTTTGGAGGCCAGCGAGGCATTTCCTCCCCACGTGACGAGGTGGCTTTCTCCGAGGCCCGCCGCAGCGCGCGCAGCTGCCGGCGTTTCAAAGGTGAGGACCCGCAGCCTAGCGGCCCGGCTGGGCTGCGGTGCGCTCAGGGCGCGGGCGGGCAGGGGGTGGTGCCCGCTCTGGCTCCCGCCACCCCTCCCCTGCCTGTCCCCTCCTCCTCGCGCCTCCATTTGGTGAACTCACAGTAGGGTCCCAAGCCAGGAAAGAGACACCTACCGGTGGCACGCGGCAATGCGGGCACCGGCAAGCCAGGCCGAGGCCCGCCCGGAGAATCGAGCAGAGCGGGCCGCGCCGGTACTGCGCGCACTTCTCCTTTGCAAGCCGTTCTTCATTCAACTTCCAAGGACATAACATGATGTCTTCTTGACACGCTCTTCCAACCATCTTGCAACAAACATAGGTCCACGTATGGGGGAGCCCAAATGTCCCGCCAGTCTGGTCCCCAACGCTGATTGTTCCCGGAGCTGCTGAGCCAAGATAACCGTTGCTCTGCAATCCGCGGGCATTAAAAGAGAGAAAGCAAAGCCTCATCCGATTTCTTTTAAGTTCCCTTAGGGTGGTCAGATTGTTCTCTGGCGAACATTTCCCTATCCCCTGCTTTAGACAGAGACTATACTAGTGTTTGCACCTGTGTGTGCGTCTGTGAGCACGTGTGTGCTTGCGGGTATATGAAAGAATGTGTGGATGTGAAAGTGACCAACTATGTTAGCAGTCACAGTGAGAGAAGCAAGCGTCAGATGAGAACACGGGAGAGAGAGAGAAGTAAGAAAGAAAAAGAAGAAAGAGGAAAAAAAGAAAGAGAAAGAAGAAAAAGAAAGAATGAAAGAGAAAGAAAGAAAAGAAATGTAGGAAGAACGCCACATAAGGACAACTTACTATGAGCTGGGACCCTGGGAGCCCAGTTTAGTTGGAAAGGCAGGACTAACTCCATAATCATAATCACCCACTTTCATTGCCACCTAGTACTAGAAGAAAGAGCTCCTAAAGGCGGGAGAAGTAAAGTCTTCGGCTTTACAAGCTAACTGGTCTGGAGGTAGTGCCTTCAGAATGGGGTCACCTGGGCGAGAGGAAAGTTTAAAGGATGACTCACTTCACTGAGGCAGTAAGCGTGGTGAGAGAAGATCAGACAGACTAGGGGAGGACAAAAATTCCAGAAACATACAGGGAATTGCTGGTCAGAGAGGGAAGAACACGCGGACAGTGCAGAGTCATTTAGGCACAGAGAAGAGAGATTCCGGAAAGCACTAGTGGAGAAAGCTGGCCTTGGGCAGTGTTTTCCAAACCATTAGAGGGCTCTAAACCAATACGGTTGTGAAACCAGCACTTCAAAGGATAATACAAAATGTCAGAGTGGGCTGGGCACAGTGGCTTATGCCTGTAATCCCAGCACTTTGGGAGGCTGAGTGATAGCAGCCTGGGCAACATAATGAGACTGTCTGTTTTTTATACATGTATATATATAAGGCCTGGTGCAGTGACTCTTGCCTGTAATCCCAGCACTTTGGGAGGCCGAGGTTGGCGGATTGCTTGAGGTCAGGAGTTGGAGATGAGCCTGGCCAACATGGTGAAACCTCATCTGTACTAAAATTACAAAAATTAGCCAGATTTGATGGTGCACGCCTGTAGTCCCAGCTACTCAGGAGGCTGAGGTAGGAGAATCACTTGAACGTGGGAGGCAGAGGTTGTAATGAGCCAAGATTGCATCCACTGCACTCCAGCCTGAGCGACGGAGTGAGACCTCGTCTCAAAAAAAAACAAAATAAAAACAACAACAAAAGAAAATGTCATAATGTATGTCAAGTAGCAAAGGCAGTTTCCTGAAACTTCTGTTTAAAAAATATTTTGGGGGTGGCACAATATAATCTCTGTGACATTCTTAATAAAAAAAGGCATAACCTCAGTTCAATCATGAAAAAAACATCATACAAACCAAAATGGAGGGACACGTAACAAAACAGTGCTTCAAAAGTGTCAAGGTTGCCCGGGCGTGGTGGCTCACACCTACAATCTCAGCACTTTGGGAGGCCAAGGCAGGCAGACCATGACGTCAGGAGATCGAGATCATCCTGGCTAACATTGTGAAACCCTGTCTCTGCTACAAATACAAAACATTAGCTAGGTGTGGTGGCACGCACCTGTAATCCCAACTACTCAGGACCTGGGACAGGAGAACCGCTTTAACCCTTGAGGTGGAGGTTGCAGTGAGCTGAGATCGTGTCATTGCACTCCAACCTAGATGACAGAGTGAGACTCTGTCTCAAAAAAAAAAAAAAAAATGTGTCAAGGTCATGAAAGTCAAGGAAAGACTGAGGAAAAAGTCACAGACTACAGGAGCCTAAATAGACATGACAGCTGAATGCAACATGCAGGGTCCTGAAAAGGACCCTGGAACTGAAGAGGGACATCAGTGGAAAGCTGGTGTCTTCAGTTTGGTCGATAGTATCATACTGACATCGATTTCCTGATTATGACAATTGTACTATGGTTATAAAAGTTGTTACTAGTAGGGAAGCTGGATGAGGGATATACAAAAATTTGTTGCACTATTGTTGCAACTTTTCTGCAAGTCTAAAATTAGTTCAAAATAAAAAAATGTATTTTTGTAAGTGTGAATGACAGGGGGCTCATGATGTAGAATATGTTTCTTATAATGAGCGGTGGTGGAAGATGTTCACAAGCCACCTCCCTTGTGTGCAGAAGGTGTCCGGAGGTACCAGCCTGGGCCAGGTGGCAAGGGGAGCTCCTAGAGCTGAGGTTCCTGGAGGGTTTGGGGGTGTAATGGGGGTGAGTGAGAAGCTGCTGGTAACAGATCATGGGGATGAGTGAGAAGCTGCTGGTAAAACATCATGGTCAGATTTGGTGGTAGCTGGAATTATCATGGTGCCTTTGGCATTTCAGTCCAACCGACCTATCTGCTGTTTGACAGAGGCTGTAGATTCCAGAAGGGCGGGGAACTCTGACCGCATGAGGTCTGAGAGGTGGGCATCCGGGATACAGAAGCTGTCACCATGCTATTCTGTTATAATCTCAAGCAGCCACTTTGTGGGAAGTGATATGCCAGGAAGAGAGACTTTTAGAGAACTGGTGGTGTTTGATAGTCTAGGGTTGTGTTATTGCTTTGATTTTTTTGAGGGGTGAAGGAGGAGCTAGTTTCAGCCCTAAACCATAGTGTCTCTGACTCCCCAAGGCTGTTGGCAGATAAATGTCTCTCTTTCACAGGGAATCTTTCAAGCAACTTAGAGAAATAAAGGGTTTGGTGAGGCAGCTGCTTCTAACATCTATACCACTGCCTTAAAAACATATGGAATTAGAACAGCAGTTTTCGACTGGGGGTGACTTTGCCTCCCAGGAGACATTTTCAGTTTTCACACTGGGAGAGGGTGTATGTGTCTGTATGTTACTGGCATCTAGTGGGTAGAGGCCAGGGATGCTGTAAACATCCTGTTATGCACAGGACAGTCCCCCCATCCCACCACCACCAGCACGGTGTAAAATCACTCAGCCCAAGATGTCATTAGTACTGAGAATGAGAAACCCTGAGTTAAAGGGGATGAAAAGCTGACGTCTGTTTACAGTCCAGAAAGTTGCCTGGGTGCTTTTCACAAAAGAAAGGGTTTTAAGCTTCATTTCTTGGCTTGATTTCAAGTGGATAATTATAACTTGCCTACCTAAAATTTACACTTTAATTTTCAGTGGGTCTCTTTCTTCAGTTCATGCTTAAACAAGCGAAATGTGGCTGTGTTCTTGACAACAGGGCAATACTCCATGGCTGAGTCGGTTACAGGTCAACAGTGGGTGAAACAATTGGTTTGCAAAGTGATTGAAGCCTCTGGGGGCTAAAAAGCACTAAAACAAGAAACCTGGGACATTATCATCATTACTAATTATTAGTGATATTACAGCACTTATTCAGCCACTCTCAGGATTCCCACAGGATTCCCACTAGTGCTAAGGTCAAAATCCGATTTCTGACCCTCAGTCCAACACCGGCTAGAATTAATATGTTAGCTGTTAGAAGCTGGGAGCTGTCACACTGCACGTCCCTGCTGCTCCAGTGTTTGGGAGAGGCTTTGCACTGGCAACACTGAGCTTCAAAGGAAATCTTCAATCTTCTATCTGTACTCACTGTTCCCATATATAGAACAGAGCAGCACACCCTTGTCTATTCTTCAAGGCAAAAGCAAATTCTGAAGGTATTAAATAGAGTCTTACTTCAGGAAACAAGAGAGCCCAGAGAAAGTTAAGGGTAAGGTTCTGTCCCTTTCCTCACGTGTTAACAATTATAATAACATGTTTATTTTATTTTGTATTTACGTATTTAGAGACAGAGTCCTGCTCTGTTGCCCAGGCTGAAATGCAGTGGCATAATCTCGGCTCACTGCAACCTCTGCCTCCTGGATTCAAGCAATTCTCCTGCCTCAGCCTCCCGAGTAGCTGGGATTATAGGTGTGCGACACCAAGCCCAGCTAATTTTTGTATTTTTAGTAGAGACGGGGTTTCACCATGTTGGTCAGGCTGGTCTCGAACTCCTGACCTTGTGATCTGTCCATCTCAGCCTCTCAAAGTCCTGGGATTACAGGCATGAGCCGCCACACCTGTCCTAGATTATAATAATTTAGAGTGGCAGAATTTAATATCAGAATCCAAGCTGCAAACTCGTAGACTGAAGGGTTATCATTTTATAAGCCACACAGATCAGTTTATGAAACCTGATTTGTCCTTTTTTAAAAAAAAAAAAAAAAAAACAGCATTTAAATGTTAAATAAGCCTGAACAGCTACAGACAGGCAACAGGCATAAAAGAAGCAGGCTTAAAAAAATTTTTTTTTAATTTTTTTTGGTGTGTTCATTCATTTTCTCTAGGATTTCTGTCTTTAGAAAGATATCAATTTTAGAAAGTATCAATTTCATCTTTAGTAACCTGAGTTTTGGCAAAGTGTGACTTTTGGAATTTTGAATGGTGATAGCTGTCGTTTCTGTGCTTGACACAGCTTTATTTAAATAGCTTTAAAACGGAGACTCCTCTGGCGTGACTCTTCCTTTAAAATCCATGTAATTTCATAGTACAAATGCTACCTTTCAAATATGGACAAGGTGCCACTGACTTTCTTGATTTTGTACTAGTTGATTTGTCTACACCCTCTCACAAGGGCCCTTAAAAACATGCCTTTCGAAGGTGTTAGCCAAGGTGAGGGGCAGAAAGTTTAGCCAAGGGACAGAGTGTACCTTTGCAAAGCAAACTGGCATGTTCTAGACAGAGTCTGAAACCCTGGCTCTTCATGGGAATCATCACGACAGAGTTAATATTTATTGGCTATTGAATATGTGCCAATGAGTCCCAAATTTTTTGTGGAATGACTTATTTCAGCCTTGCCACAACTCCTCTATTTTACAGCCAGTGAAACTGAGGCTCCGAGGGGTCAGATATTTTATTTATCTAAGGTCAGGGAGCAGAAAAGACTCTGCAGGAATCTGAAACAAGCCATCTGTCTCTAGAGCCCTTGCTCTTGACCTTTTCCCCAACAAACATGATCTAAAAAAACCATTAATCATGTGATTACTACAGAGTTTGATTTTCAAATGTTTCACACTATTTTCACAACTGTTACCTCTTTTGCTCCAGAGGCATGATGGTAACTAAAATCCTGGAATGTGTCTTTTCATAAAGATTAGGTGTGGAAAAGACACGATTGCAAGAAACACCCTTTTCCAATGCAACGCTAACAGAAGCCCTACTTGAACAAATTTGGTGCCCCAGGAGATCACTTCAGTTTATTTTCCCTCTCCCCAAGATAAATGTAGGTGGTGGGGTGTTTTAGGGTTTCTTTCAGTACTGCTTTTCTTTTTCTACACTTTTCTTGAACATGATGCCATTGATACCCTTTTGAAGTTGAATTATACCTCTGGCGTCGCATTGCACGAAGCATTTTACCCATAGCCGTGTTTTTGGAAGCTAAGTGCATGGCAGTAACAGCATGTTTATCTGGAGTTGAGACTTGAGAAGCATGTTCTTCCCTTGAACACGACCTGAGATATGTCACCTCCCCATCTGGGATTCCAACCTTAGGTACATAAGGGAGCCAACGTGTAATTGTAAGAGACGATGGGAGTGAGAAGCCATTTTCCATTAATTTAGATGAAAGCCCATGAGGTGAAGGGCAGCCATCTATCATTTCTTGGGGGTTTTAGAACTAGTGTCATCCCCCAACTGCCTCCCTATTCACTATTCTGTAGGGGGGTCAAGAATGGTTGGCAAATCACCACTTTCAACAATGTCGATTTAGGCTTAAACATGGCCATT